ATATAATCGTATTTGAGTCTCGCTTTTAATTTGTTATCGATTTGCATTGCATCGAAGCAATATTCGCTGGTTAAGCCAAAGAATCGATTAAAATCGAACAAACTTAATTTTTTTATGCTTGAATTTAATCTTCGAACGTTTTATAAGCATGAAGCAATAGAAATTAAGAGTATCGGTAGAGAATTAAGAGAAACGGTCTGTTCCATCTTTTTTATGATCTAAAACCCTTTTTTGATACAAAAATAAAACCGAATGAAGATTTTTTTTTATAGTTTTATCTGTCCATTGTCGTCTTTACATCCAGTTTATTTGATTACAAAGTTTCATTACAGAGAACGATGTGAGAGCAAGTTTAATCCAATTTTTTTTCCAACATGTTTTCTTTCTCGTTCGTACGCTTGTCCATTTTATTCTTTACATCATCATCTCTTATTGTGGCTATCCGATTTACCATCATCATGGCTTTTTATGATTATTTTATTCTAGAATTTTACAACAATTTTTCCCTTCTAGATTACGCCTTTTACAATTTGATGTGCTCATCAATTTAGAAGAAAACAAAAAAGAGAAATAGAGAGAATGAAGGGAAAAAAACTTGTTTGCTCTGTAGTTAATATTAAACAATCCTTTGCTTGTTAAGTCAAATATTGTTTATAGTGTGAGTTCAGTGGCGATGTATTAATGTAAGGTATAAGTCATGAAATGAGCTTATATATACGAGTTATGAAAAATGAATGCCGCTCTGTGCAAGAAGAAGTAAAAATAATTTTTAAAATGAAACGAGACGCTGAATGATGGTCATAAATGATGTCGTCGTATCAGCAAGATTTGTTCTGAATCAATGCAGTCGGTGATTGTGATTTTGAGCTATATAGAAGCCAATACAGAGAGAGCGTATATGTGTATGAAAGAAAGAGAGAGAGAGAGAGCCTTGCGGTAAGAGAAATGATACGACACGAATTTGAAAGGGAAAAATTGTGCATCGTTGTGGTGGTGGTGGGCTGCAGGGAAACTACACGTGCATTTATCTATAGTGTGACTATAAAATAAGAAATAAGAATTCCCTTGTTAACCGGAACGTCACAAGAGTGGAATGAAACAGACTCATTTAATGTTTAACCCGAAGCGATCTATCATCATTTATGATTGTGGCATTCTTTGAAAGACAAGCATGCAGATGAATTGAAGCCATAAGAAGAACAAACACGAGAACAAATCACGGCCGATCTTTTTTCGGTTGTCTGACTGCTGTCAGTCGTATTACCTGTGTATGCATCACCTCTTGTTAAAGATTACAGTCGCCATCATTTAAATTGATGTGCAAGTTCTTCTTCTCTTCTTCGTCATACTTTTTTCTTATCTTTTCGTTGACACAAACTCACAAGTCTATGATTTGTCACTGTGTACCTGCCATGTTTGACAACGACAGACAATATTTTACTTGTTTCAATACACTTCAATCGCTATATAATTGGAGTTATAGTGCATTTATGGAATCCAGGTGGCGTACAGCGAACGCTGTACGGCATGAGTCTCGCTCTCTTCATCTCTTCATTTTTTTTTTCTGTGTCATTATAGCTCAAAAATGACCGTGTAGCTTTCTATTTGTTCACAATTCGCGTCAATTAAAATGACAGTGTATACGTTTATGCACACTACACAGCTCGACCGTTCTTTACTTCTTCCGGCATTATTGTTGATAATTCATTGCAGTCATTTCTGTCTCTGTCTCCTCTGTGTGTACACTCCATCGTCCCATATTTAGTCTATTTAGTTTTAGAACTACCTGTGAACTTTGCTGAAGTGAATGCAAATATTTAAGCAGGAATTAAATAGAACCAGTGAACAAAACAAACTCGACAGAACTCAAACAAATGGATTTCTACAATTTTGATTGCATGCGTCAAAGAACAAGGATATGCCAAGAAGAATGAGAGCGATAGAAAGATAGAAAGACAGAGAGATGAAGAGAGCGGAGATAAATTGGTAATTCATGCCACGGAGAATGAGTTTTTACTTCACTTTAATGGTTTGGTTTTTTGTTAAGTGTATGTGTGTGTGAGAGAGAGAGGGAGAGAAAGAGTCGTTGATGCAGGTACTCTGGTATAATACTTAAGTGACGGCAAACGCCAACCGAAGCAGAAACAACGACGTATAAAGAAAAAAAAATCCGTCCCAGAACATGAAATATGATTGAGAATAAGTGTTCCAGACGATAGAGGAAATGATATCAAAACGAAATGAATGTGTTTGCAATGCATACAAGCCCTGTCATTTTCACCACTTTAAATGGCTTGAAATGTTCTGGCTATGTGAACAAATTCACGTTGGCAAATGGAACAAAACCAATGTAGTATTCAGTCAAAATTGAATGAGTCCCACGCTAGATTTCAATCAACATCGTTGACTCAACATTCGTTTACCGAATTATTTGTTTGTGCAGCCGTTGGCTCAATGAAAAACACGATGATGATGAATGAAGTTCTGATGAATTAAACGCTTTTAGAAAATTAAATCGACTTCAAGTTTTCAACTTTGGTGGTCACAAACTGCAACACAGCTTAAAATATAATTTACATTCGTTTTAGATAAACTTCATTTTTCGATGATAGTTTTCTCATTGCATCATGACATGAAATTCACTTAGCAATAATTTGGCATGGTTTGCCATGTGTCACAAAACTTGAGCAATCATGAGTGAAAACCATGATGATTCAAAGCAACACACAATATTTACATCTCATAAAATGACTCATATCTGCTTTCATTTGTTGGCGTTTTAGATTTCAAAAGGGATACACCAACGAAAACAGCAAACAATGGTGAACACCGAATGAATCAATGATGGAAAAAAGTCAGATTCCTTGAACGCTTATAATGGCAGACAAGAAAGGGACAAAAGAAACAAACGGATAACAGATAAATGGATTAAGTTACAAATGGATTAACATTCATAAGGTTTTTCTAAAAAAAAAGAACCGAATCGATGTATTTATTGTCATTACGAATTTTTTTTGCTAAATCGTACAGTTTGTTTTATGGCCGGTGATGAAACGGAATGGAGTCACACAACTTGAGTTTGCATTTATGAAATTTATTCTCTTGTGGCGCCAATTGCTCACAATGGCGATGCACGTATTCGGTTGGTTTCGAAATTCAAGCCAAAAAGTCGATGATTAGTGGAAATTCAATTTCCTCGTTTTACATAAGTTCTGCTGAACTAGAAAACCATTTGAGGCGAAAAAAACCATATGTTTCGGTTTTATGGGATTGAAATACATGATTGTTATCCAATCATTTTTTGAAGAAAACAATATGTTTCATTCGATTTGCCTTTTCAGCGATTTTCAAATAAAGCCATCATTTTCGACTTATTATATTTGAGAATCTCTTGATTGGGGTCCCTTTTCACTTGAAATTCTAACCTTTTTTTCGCTGTAACAATGATTCTTTTCCTTTCTCTTGTCAATTATGATTTATAAGTAAAATTAAAGTAAACAGACCAATCGTCGAAGAAAATATATTCGAGTAGAGAGAAAAAGGGCTAGAAGGGGATATGCTTATTAAACAACCAAATTGAACAATTTGGGAACGTCCGTTTTTGCAAAATTCGGGTATTTGTAGTGTTTCTATTTGGCATACTCTTGGAATTGACTGCCAATGCAAAGTGACATGGCAACAAAAGAAAGAAGAAAAAACACGGAAATGTGCCGATTTAATGTGAGCAAATTACTGCGTCGACCGCCGACTAAACAAAGAACAATAACAATATAATAAACATGTCATAAACATAGAACCCAGTTGACAAATGGCAGAGTCTAAATTGCATAAATGCCACATGTTCACCATCACCGAAATCAAAAATACCAATTCTGGTATTACTCTGGTGTTCGGATCAATATCGATATGGCAGGTATTTGGTGCATGCAATTTAAAACAATTGAATTTAAAAATATATATGATGTGGGTAAAAATTACGAAAAAAAAACGTGGCAAAATTTATGCGCGATGTGAGTTTGATGGAGAATAATTGAACAGAGTATCTATTCACTTTTTTGATGCGCATTCTATGCGGACGTACATATATTTCTTGCTGTCGACATTGATGAAAATGTTTGATAATTTATGCGTTCATAATTGATGTTTGGAAACCTACACATATATGCCTGTATTAGAATATTTCGCTTAGTTGGTTCTATTCACAGTTACATTGTTTAATGTATATGACCGAGCACAGAAAATAGTGTGTATTGTTTTGTTTTATCATCAAGCACCGTAATTGGGATGGGTTCAGGCCGATTCGAATGACAGATGACAATCATCATATCGCAATCACAAAAACACACAAATAAAGCGTGCACTCGATGTCACAAACGTACATTGACACAATGACCACATAACAAAAAAAGACCGAAGCAAAAATTTCCAGCGAAAATCACCAGAGAATATAAAAAACAAATTCATTCAAAACTGGTAATAAAAACAAAAAAAAACCAAAAGGAAGAAACGCACAAGCGATGGCGCGCATCCATTAACAAAAACTCGGAAACGAGAATAACGAATAAAACACCGGATGTACTTGATGTACTTTTGTGACCGCATCGCATTTATTTTATGCCATGCATTCTGACCGGAGTTTATCAGCAGTTTGCGGCTTTTTTTATACAACCTTGTTGCACGCTGTGTGGACGAACACAAAATGTAAATACATTCAGAGGTTTTCAAAGTAATGTTGCGTGTTTTGTGCATAGAATTTGAAGCACGTCATCGTTCATCATGTATGTATGCTTGTGCGGAGATGCAAAAACAATGTGCACATAAATACAAGCGATGCAGTTTGTGGGAATTTCTGTGCCACTTTTAATCATCTTGTTTTCGTTTTTTCTGTTTTTCCGCTCATTGTCTTCCCATTTGATTCAAAATATACTATGAACGATGGGCCTGCCATTATATAATTTTTCATCGAGGATTAAATCAAACAAAAAACAAAGTGTCTTTACCTGTTTTCCTGACGCAACGATTGATCGCCCAACAAAATTTCGTTACGGCCGGCTTGAACTTGTAATGAAGAATTTCCTTTGGATGATATGCGATTTATGTCAGACGTAGTCGTGCCGTCCGTTGGTTCCAAATCACCTTCTGATAGTGTTGATAGCTGCTGCTGTGCGATGTTTTTTTTATGTTTTCATTTTCAAAATTGCAGCAATAAACATGACGATGAAAACGAAAGGAAAAACAATTAAAATTAAAAAAAGAACAATTTTTTCGGAATAATGAATAGCAATAAATAAAAACGATTCTATGCATCGTTGATTTAATGATCTAGTTGCTGTCATTTTGAGCGGTTTGACATTGACTATTGAGAATTTCATAACCGAAGATGTAATAGCTTGTAGTTAGTACTGTAGTTATATAGCCTCGATTTGGATCATAAAATCCGTTTTAAAAAGCCAATGTGTGTGTGCATTAGTGTGAATGTGCTTTTATGAAAATGGTATATGTAATAGAATCGTTTACCTCTCTTCGGGGACCGTGACCATTTGCTAATAATTCGCTACTAGTTGCTGTTTTCGATGTATTTCCATACTTATTACTATCACCGGATGCTAGTGCTGACGCCGCACCTGACAATGATGATGAATGTAAGGCTGTATTTGTTGCCGTTTCACTTGTACTACTGATACAATTACCGCTATAAACGACTGTTCCACCCGCACTGTTCACGCTTATATTATTGCTGCTTGTGTTATTGTTCAAAATATTTTGGAATGCTTGCTGATCGTTGCTGAACAATGTTCCTTTGGCACTTTCACCGATTAGCCAACCACCAGCCAATGGTTGTTGATTCACCACTTTTGTTTGATTTTGTTGTTGTTTATTGTGTATTGAAACGGGCGGCTGATGCACGTGTGCAATTGATTGAATCGTTCGTGATTGATTTGAATCCAATGCCAATGATCCAGAGACGGTGTTTACCGGTGGTGAAAATGTGGTCGATGTGTGTTGTAAATTGCTACTTGATAAATTTGATGTCGTTAAGGTTGTAGTACCAGTTACGTGATTTCCCGTCAACGATGTCACATAAATTGTCGATGCTTCGTTCAAAAAACTATAGTCTTGTGTTTTTACACCTTTGGCCGTCTGATTTTGTTGATTTAACTGTAAAATAAAAATCAAACGATTACATTATTAATGACAATGGCATTTTTCGGAACAACTCCATTTTTTGACAATAAAAATCGATCATATTTTCCATGCAATTTAGTTTGCAATGTAGTGTACAGATGTTATACCATTTGATTTTTCTTCTCTTGACATTTTTTTCTTTCTTCCCTGTGTGCACTTTATTCTCGCACGTCTAATAAAACACAATTTTTATATTCTACAAATGCTTCGATTCGGTGAAGCATTTTTTTTTGCTTTAAAATTGTAATAAATTGCCTTGGAAATTGTTCAAGATGCTCTGCATACCCATGTTGTACAATGCCATGGCTCAATGGCATTTATAACGAAAAAACTTCATGTTTCATGCACTTCATCGACTGTGTTTTTCTTTTTAAAGTTCTGTTTGCACCAAAGTCGCATTGCAAAAGTGAGAAAGCGAGAAAAATGAAAAGTCGAAACTATTGACAGTCAATGCCCAATTCGATGTTGTGCATATTTGGGAAATATTTACCAGTGGATATCTACCGACTACCGTGTGTTGTGAAAATGCAAATAAGCAATTTTTTTATAACCCATTCTTTTAAATCGAAGCAACAAGAGACATCATTTTTCTTTCGTTTTATACGTTTTATATTGTCAACCGTCTTCATCACTGCACATCTACACATATGCATAGCTTTAGTGATTTTAGTTACGAGGCTCTTTCAAAACTCTTTTAGCCATCCATCTATGGTTTTTCGTTGGAAATTGCATTGAATGTATGTCGTTTGCATCCGGACTCTTGCAGATGTGCGCTCTTATCAGTAATTTGTTATATAATTACAAGTAAAATACAAACTATACTCGGTGAGTATCTAGTCGCTGCTGGATGTGAATGTTCAACTGCTGCGATTGAATTCCCTTTAGAGTTTCTTTCATTCTCTTTTTTTTCGAACGGAAGATAACGAGAATGGTAGTAATAGAGAAAGAGCAAATTGTACGAAAAGAGAAGAAATTTGCGTAAAACGTAATTTAATCAAAGTAGTATCAATCGAAATGAAAAAAGAACTTAAAAAAAACGATATAATTTTGTGCCCGCTTAAAAGCGCACTGTGAAAAACTAATTCTATGCAATGAAAAATGGGTAAAATGCTTAGAATTCAAGTGGGTAATTGGCGGGAAGACTCATTTCCAGTCATAATGGAGTGCTTTGAGTAAAAGCACCCACGAGGAATTCATTTAAGCTATTTGAAAAATGGAACACAAATCGATAACATCAAAAAAGGGGTGTTTGTCTATCGTTCGACATTTTCGTTTGTTCAATGGTGTGTGTTTGTGTATGGAGTATGTTTGACGCGCACGCACAGCGACAAAACTTACAAAGTAAATTGTGCTTTCAATGAATGATGGCTTCTTAAAATATATAAAAGGCAATTTATTTACATCAGCATACGGATTATGGTAATTTTCGCATCTTTCAGCAGAGAAGCACAGTTAATTATCTTGTTCGCGTTGTTTTATCATTGCTATTTGTTTTTTTCTTATTCCATTGTCATCGTTGCCGTCGACGATTCATTTATCTATTTTGATGCAGTCTTGCGGTTTTTCCAAAACAAAATTTGCATTCGTCGTCGTTTGAATTGTATGTAACTCATTTTGGTATTTGGTCTTATGCGATACAATTTCATTTTGTCGTCATCTCTTCCACACAAATAAATAACACATAATTGCCACACTACGAAAAACGTACCCGCAAAACTTTGCGGCCACGACTCGCAATTGTCTTGAATTATGCATTTCTTGCGAAATAAAATTATCATGCGCTGTGTGTGAAGACAAACGGAACCCCTTTTGCAGCAAAACTGCATGCGTCACATAATAATAGTCATTAGACAATTTTGTTGTAAATGCTTTTGTTTGCATTTTGTTGCTGGCAATTTTTTACGTCATTTTTTCGTTGCAAAGTGAACGGATCGAAATCGCTATATTTTCATTTTCAATATATTGCAATTGCTTTTGTTATATGCGCTCATCGCTTCGGTGCTTTTCGCGATTCGCGATTCTGTATACTATTTACACGGAAATTACCATTCATTCAACAAAACATTTAACCATTCCTACCATTCCCACAGTCTATCATGTAATTTATATATTTATATGCATATACATCTTCATCTTTGGTCGGGTTTGATGATGTTGATAAAAGACTGCAAATCACTGAAATCAACATGGGGCGAAAAAGTGCTTAACAAATCAATTCAAAACTGTCTACAAGTTTTTACCAGCTTCTCTATTACCGCTAGTTATCTGGGCTGACACTGACTAGCATTCAAATTGGCCTAACGAAGCCGAATTATACCAGCAAACAATTTGTTTGTTACAGTATATTTATCTTTCCGGTTTTATCTCTCTCTATCTCTCTCTCTCTCTCTCTCTCTCTCTCTCTCTTGGTGCCATCCAACTAACTATAATTGTCTATTGTTTTCCCATCTATTTTTCAACGGACTTATCATAGCATAATTTCCTCCAAACAACTTTATACTTTATTCAAATCCTACATTTAAATCTCTCACTGCGGTTTCCATAATATTGACTAATTCAAATAGATTTGCAACTTTATACCATATAGAGTTCATACGATGCTCCTATCGATTTTCCATTTTCCAACATGATTCACATTTTCGAGCGCACATTTAAAAAAAAAGAGCTCATTTCGAAGTTTTAATTCATTCATGTGAAAAGAGATCTTTGGATGCCAAAATCGCATCCTACAATCTACTTTGCAAACCATCGTTATTCACGCTCTCTAAAGCTGAATTTAATTGGCACTCACCGAAAATTAGGTCGTTGGTCTACATATATATAACAGACATTTTGGATATTATAATTTATAAATGATAAAATTGATGTTGTGATCTAAAAACCAAACATCAATATTGGTTTAGTTGAATGTTTTAATTTTCCACTTCAGCAAATTTTTAGCAATGTGAATTGCGGTTTTTAACCACCGCGCGGTATCACAACCAACCAAAATAATGAAATAAATTCAAATACATCATGCACACGTGTAAATTAAAACATTAAATACAAGGCATTTTTTAAACTTGCCAAAAACACATGACACCACATTGCAATTAGATGATTATTCTAAATCGATTAGCATGTCTGCGTAAAGTTATTAATAACTATAATTTTATTGATTCGATCTTACCTTGATTGACAACTGTGACATGTCAACCGGCTTGATTCGTTTGAGAGCTGATAAACGCTGCAAACGCTCACGGGCCTGTTGTTCGACAGCAATAACGAATGCATCTTGAACAGCATTACCTAATTCACTAGCTGAAATGAGAAGAAATAAATGCACAATTATTGCAAACATTCAAGTTTGAGACAAAAGAATTATATAGAGAAATGCACTAAATTAAATCGACTCGAAATTATATACATTTGATAAATCGCCAATGTGTCGACAGAAATTTATTGTGCACAGGAGTCATTCAATAGTTAATGTTATTCATAAAATATTTCCACAAAATGCGCAAATATACCAAATCATTGCCGCCAATATTCATCATCGATTTAATGTTCTTATAATACATAAAAAAAATGATCATGAAAACCAATGAATCAAAGTATACTTGTTTTAGTCATTTGAGCAAAATGGATGTATTGATTTGAAGTTTTACTCACATGAAATTAAACGACAAGAAAAAAGAAAAAAAGAAAGAGAAAAAACGGTGGCATAAAACGAAACGAAGTGAAAAAGAGAAACATCGTTCGCCAACTTTCTGAAGGCAGCAAACAAAGTTATTCACCTCGACATAAATCTTGTGTTGTTCATGTCTCACTTTTATGAAAGCATATGCTATGTGCAAGACACAAATGCAATTTCATTCTCAATAAATAGCAAACATAAAAATAAAAGCCACGTTCGTGTCAAAGGCACACACCAGCCTCGGCCAAGCCAACAGACGACAACTTTGCTCAAAGCCATAAATACATTTATTTTCACACATTATTCGTAATCGCTTTTTCCCCCCTCAACTCCTGATGTGAAAGAGATCAAGCCAGAGAGAGTGAGAAAAGTGCAAGTTTGCGAATTTATTTATAAAATTATGGAAAAAGAAATAAAAGTTTGTGATAAGCCTTTCGAAAATTCGAATGATTTCACGAACTCATCTTTTTTTCGATAGTGAAAACAGAAGCTTTGATTTATTTAAGGGCAGAAAGAAAACATTCAAATTCAATTTTGAATTGAAATGAATGAATTGGCTACGAACCATTTAAAAAAAATCGAATTCTGATCCACTGTGGCAGTACAACATGAGCTAAAAGAAATCATCGTATGAATGTTTCATCTGATATGAAACCTTCACTCCATTTTGACGAACCAATTGGCCCCCAAGTCAAAGACGCTCGCTGCCTTTGCTTTGTCGATTCAAACACGGTGGATGACATATAAAGATTTCACTTTGCGAATAAATGAAGTGTAAGATACTGGTAACATAAGATGCATAAACTAAAACAAGTAGGCATAAACATCAGGTTACAATATCATGTTGCAGCATACATATCAGTTATATGAGTCGTTTTCTGCTTCAATCGAAAAGAGAGTTCTATTCAACCGAATTTCCACCGATGCCATGGCATTTTCTCTCAAACTTATTTTCAATTTGCAGTCGACAGGGAATAAGTATTTCTTAATTATTTATACGAATGACCAAACAATATAAGAATGTCAAAGCAAATTATGACAGACGCTTTTTTTTCTCTTGTCGCTGTTTTTGCAGGGCAAAAATCACAATGGGATTGTTGAAAATGATGTAGCAAATAATTCAATGTTATTGCTAAAGGTGAAATTGTAAGAGAAAAAACTTCGGAGATTATATCCAAATGCACGGATTATATATATTCATCAAAATAGGAACGGAAAAGAAACCAATGTGCTATCTTAATGGAATTAAGTGAATTCTGGCAAATATGATTACCGTGTGAATGATTTCTATGTGCGCCTGTTCAATGTCATTTCTACGGAAATTTGTGACTGTCGCGTGATGTTCTGTATGTTTTTTTTATTATATGCGTTTTGAGGATATGCAATAAAATGATATCTATAAAACTATTCCCTCAATGCCACTGATAGACTTGAAAAGTAGATATGTATGCCAACCGTTGCCGGCATCATTTCAATCTCGTTTTTTTCTACTCGCACACGGGCAACAGATAAAAACGTTTTGTGTGTGTGTGTGTGGCGTGTGTGTGTAAGTGGATCTTGATGTCGTTTTTTATGTGCGCCACAAACGGCGGAAACATTACATCGAAATAAGTACAGCGAATATTTCATTCAGCAACAGAAGCAGCATCAAAGATGAATGTTGAGTAGAAAAAAACTGCCACGATGATGAATAACGATGACGACAGAAGAGACAGAAAAGAATAGTACGATGACATTAACTTATGTACCTAACTCGTAGATAAATCATATGTAGCCAAGTGCTTTTTTTTCTCTTTTCGAAATCGTATTTTGTGGCACAAGAAAATTGAAATGGCTCTTGTTTTAGTTGACAACTTTTTTTTATGGACGCAATCGAATTTCGCACGTCTCACATTGTTTGCCCATTATTACTGTAGGTGAAAATGCCATTCTCATAAACACAAATAACAACAGCCATTTATTATTGGTGTGGACGTTTGATGGTAATTCATGAATATCAAGCTTTTTACCCAATTTCACCGCATTTATCCAACTATAATTGATATTAATTTGTAATTGCCTGTGTGTATACGAGCAAATACAAATAAATACAAAAAAATGTACAAACGTACACACTTCTCTATTCAATTTGATTGAAGTATACAAGTGCATCGTGTTTTCATTCTGATATTATGTGAATGAGACAAAATCAACGTGTGGTCCATAAATATCCATGGGGGCAAAACAATTCAATTGATTTGTGAATGAAAATGCACAAACCAGGTTGGGCTACTGAAAAGAGTGCTCTTCTTAATGAAATTTAATTGTGCGAAAGACGGAAATCAATAAAGTAGTAACCATTGTTTTGTGGCTGTGCAAATATATACATAGAAAGAACGAGTGAGTGAGTTAGTGATAGAGGAGAAAGAGAAAGAAAGCGTTAGATCGAAAGGAGCGCCAATTCAAAATAAAATAAGTGTTCAATTTAAACGAACTTGAACCAATAAATTGCTAGAATACTATGCTGCCTTGCAATTTACCGTCTTCTTGGTGCATCAATCCAATCGTATTTACTTTCACAACTTAAAGGAATCGAAGCATTCACATTGTAAGAAATTCTTACTAAAAATCGAAAAACATATCCAATGTGCAACAAAGCAGCAATCATTTTCAATCAGGAAAATAAAATGAGAAAAAAAAAATTATAATTGCAAGTAGAGCGAATGGCGAACACCTTTATCGTGCTGAATGCAAAATAAATTCTCAAATGGAATCAATGTTGATCAAAAGAATGTGCGCGCTCTGGTGCACGACAAATGTAAATTTTTATGTCTTCTTCGTTTATGATTGAATTTATTCGTTAACAGCTTCTCGACAAGTGAATGACTTGTGCAATGGAAGCAATTCGAAATACCTGTTGCTCATGATTACATTATGTCAGAGTGTGCATAGCAAACGGCTAGGCTGGATTCATTTGCCGTTCGTCCATCAATATGTCTCTGTCGATCTAAATGGTATGATTTCAATTTACTTTGCCGTAAATATGATCGAGTGTATGTCAATCGAATCAATTATATGCATTTGCAAGCATCATTTTTCTTGTCATCGTTGTAAATGTGACAAAAACACACGAGTGTCAGTTGGCAACAACAGATCTAAGAGCTTCGATGTTGGTCGGTGTTGATGTTCACAACGGAAAATCATTGGAATATTAAACTGTTTGCGTTATGCTGTGCATCGCTCACTGCAAGAGACTGCTTTAGATTTCACTTCCTTTTTTCTCTTTTTCCTTCTCTCTCTCTCTCTCTCTAATATCCGCTTATGTTTATAAAAAGATTTTCCCAACTTTGCTAATAGAGGCATTTCTTTTTTAATCTAATAGAATTTAAACTGATTTTCTGCTAATTGATTTCGCTCTCATAGTTCATGTACACAGTTTTCAATGCATTTAAAATACTACGACCATTCATTTCCATTTCAAGTTAAATCAATTTTGTATCCTCTTCAAATGATGCTAGTTACGAATCACCTCTCAATGTGATTTTCTATATAAAAAAAAAGCTTGTTCAGCGTCTGCGCCAATCAAATTGACAAAGCAAAATGAACAAAAAATTTGCTTGACAAACACTTTTTTTTTTCATTTTCAAACAATGATTCACATTGAGTTGAATAATTAATTGAAACATGATCGGAATTGTTTCATTTCCATGCAAAAATTGATAGTTTACCTTTTCCATCTGCACCCATCAATACAGTGAAATGTTTTTTTTTTAATGGACACCATAGATACATTTCCTCTATAAAGTCACATCATATTCACAAATGGAATTCATTTCGAGTGCTGTTTTTTTTCTGCTTATTTAGCACCGTCATTTTTGCTGACATATGACCACAACATCAATTTTTTTTTGCTTTTGCATTGGTCGACTGAAAGTCAAATTATGATCACGGTAACTGAGAATGCGCAGAATATGTGCATATATTTGAATATCTCCCGACGAATAAAAAATAATAATAAAGCTGGAATTAATTTTTGTTTTTCAATTTGTATATCCGCACATTGACATCCAGCTTAATTAGAATCATACATTGCAGTGACTATGTTTCGCTGAACAGATAAATGCCGAATAATAAATATGTATGTATAGCACTTAAGGCCAAAATCACCCGCAGTCAAATATGATAACGATAATATCAGCAAATGAATTCGAATGGTGTTCACATGGATAACGAGAATGATTCGACATCAACTCATGCTGATAAAACATTCATTCGGCAATGACTGTTCAATAAATGTCGTTGATTATGTCGAACGAAATAAGCTTCCCTCTAAGTACATGATTTGTACATATCCAAAGCCAAAAAAAAAACTTGTAATGTATTCAAACAAAATATATGTTTTTTATTCCGTTTTGCCAAGCGCGTCTATCATAGAATAATTAAATATTCATCATTGCAAATCCTTTTATTTATCATTGCCACAGCAATAGTAATGTCAGACGTATGACAGGAAAGGGTAAAAAATGAAATTATTTGAATAAACACGCCCGCAAAATTGACCACATACCAAATTCACTTGAATACATTCGTAAATATTTGCATGTAAACCAAAACAGTAATATGCAAATATTTGTTGTATATCAAT